CTCCACCTCCCAGGTTCAAGCAATTCTCCCGCCTCAGCCTCCCAAGTAGCTGGGACTACAAGGACGCACCAACACACCTGGATAATTTTTGTGATTTTAGTAGAGACGGGGTTTTCTCAAACTCCTTTGATAGGTGTTTTTGATCTTAGGTCTTCAGTAAAGCATTTGATTAATTCTTAGCCCTAAGAACAAAGTAATGGTATTGGCTTTGGGCTCAGCCTACTATTTGCCATTTCCTGCTGTTGCAGGAAGAGCCCCAATGTCCCAAGCATCAAACCTAGTACTGGGTGACAGTTCATCAGTTGAACATGGCATGACAGGCAAAAGGCCTGGCACTGAGAAGCAGAATTTCCAAGAGTATGAGTGAGTGATGACGGTGGTGGCCAGTAGCAGAAAATTATGACCGTGTATATTCCCCAGACATGCAGAAAAAATACATTAGTTTAAAACATGTAAGCTTAGCAGGAAACTGGCAGGAAGAAATTTAAAAGAGGTTCTATATTTTACAAGTATTCAGGAAAGGGAAATAGTTGAGTAAATTGCTGGGTTTAATCTATTAGAAAGTCTGACGTACACCATATGCAATTGTAGGGATGTGACCACTTCCAAGTAGATGATCTGGTGTACAAAACTGAGTATTACTCTCTCCTTTTGTTTTTGCAGGTAAAAAGGGGTCACTATGGAGTTCAAAGGACAGAACTCCTGCCTGGTGACCGGGACAACCTGGCCATTCAGACCCGGGGTGGCCCAGAAAAGCATGAAGTAACTGGCTGGGTGCTGGTGAGTACCAGTACCAAGAGCTAGGACGAGTTTCATTTAGGATTAGACACAAGCACATCTGGCAGAGGTGCCTGAGATACTGCCAGCCTGAAGGTGCCTGCTCTTCCACATCTCTTTGGCATAGCCCTAGCATGCATCAACCAATATGGCAAAATTGCTTTTCACAGCTAAAATTACAGTTCCACAGAGCACTGCTCCTCTTCAGAGAAACTAAAGGAAAAGTGCTTTATTGCATGTTTTGAAAACAACCAATGAATTAATGAGAGCTAATTATTTTTTCCTAAGAGCACAAAGCAAAATCCTCACACACAGCTACATGGCCCAAGCATTGTTTAACTGATTATCGATTAATTCCTTACTTACTTGACCCTTGATGCTCATGGAGAATACTTTGATCATATACCCTATCAAGGCTGCTTTCAAACCGCGTGCACCTATCCAGTTTTTAACCTATGCAATCAGAAGTTGTCCCTGACGTTTCCTCAGATGAATCCTCTCAGCATACCAAATATGGTAGCTATCGAAGTCTCCTAGCACAGGACCTGCACTACTTCGGGCAGTCCCTTTGCTATGAATCGCCTGGTCATCTTAGGAAATTTATAAAATAATGACCTAATTGGAACCACTGAAAAAAGAGAAGACAACCACAGAGGAATACTAGATCCTTTTTCTTTCACAGGTATCTCCTCTAAGTAAGGAAGACGCTGGAGAATATGAGTGCCATGCATCCAATTCCCAAGGACAGGCTTCAGCATCAGCAAAAATTACAGTAGTTGATGCCTTACATGAAATACCAGTGAAAAAAGGTATGCAATAAATCTCACAGCCATTTAAAAATGACTAGTACATTTGCTTAGCAAGGAACAGAACCAAGTATGAAACTATCATAGTTATTAATGAAATTCTGTAGTCAGGAACCCATAAGGGCATTAAGTATGCTATTAAAATGCAGAGCATGAGACTCCAAAAGATTATCTGGATGGGTGACTGAATGTCATTATTATGACTTACATGCTTTTACCTTATCTAACATGTAAGAGTCAAAACTCAAACTTGCTGGGAATGGCTTATGTTTCCCATAACTTTCTACCTATCTACTTGGCATTTTCCCTTTGTGTTGTGACTATTATATTAAATTCCCATTTACAAGAAAATGATTGTGGGCAATTCTTGTCCTTCACTTTTAGTTTTTAAAAGAAAGGAGAGTATATTGGCAAATACCCAATTCTGTTCTGCCTCCCCTTCCTTCACTTCCAAAAAGCTTCCTCTGAAGAAACCTTCCTAAGTGTCATAGCAATGCTACTTTACATTTATATAGTTCTATGAAACTGATGTCTGAATTGGCTTTCCCTTAGACAGAACAAAATTGACTGTCAGCATGTGTCAAACCATTCCACTGTGCAGATCACTCAGCTGTGATATGAAAAGAAATATTAAGTAAAGAAGTATTTGGTCAGATTCTCTTCAGCCATAATGTATAATGCCAGGCAATGAAACAGAGCAGTAGCTAAGGGTCAAGCCATGCGTTTGAGTCTTAGCTCTGCTACTAATTATTCCTCCACTTTACATTTTGAAGGAGATCTGGACCACAAAGGGAAGTCTTTAACCTCTCTGAATCTCAACTTGGTCATTTGTGAAATGTGCTCTTCCAGTTCTGTAATAAGATGTACCTTTGATGCATCAACCAGTACGGCAAAATTGCCTTTCATAGCTAAAATCATGTAACTCAAGTTCCACAGAGCACTCTGGCATGTCATTTATACAATTACTCATATCTTCTTTTCCCCACATTTTAACAACTTCATTTATTTGGAAACACTTAACTACCTGACAATTCGAAAGTCAGCCACATACCTAGATGTAACTAATTTTTATCTTTTTCTTTTTTTAAACAGGTGAAGGTGCCGAGCCATAAACCTCCAGAATATATTAGTCTGCATGGTTAAAAGTAGTCATGGGTAATTACAATACCTGTTCTTGCCTAATAAGTTTCTTTTACTCCAATCCACTAACACTTTAGTTATATATTCACTGGTTTTACATAGAGAGATACAAAATAAAGATCACACATCAAGACTATCTACAAAAATTTATTATATATTTACAAAAGAAAAGCATGCGTATCATTAAACAAATAAAATACTTTTTATCACAACACAGTACATATTTGTCGTTTTTTAAAAGCCACACAATAGAAACAAGACACCAAGATATTTTAAGTACCTTGTTGAGTCTTGTAAAATAGCTACACACTCATCATTCGTGGTGCAATACTCATAGACATAAGTTCCTGAAACAATAGTTTGCATGCATAAGGCATTCGCACCAAAGAAATCTGAAAAGAAAAAACAAAATAGTAATCAGCAGAACTGTATTGAAGTCACCCCACTTCTCTACCCCAGAAAGGCAAAGATCTGGTACTGCAGATAGTGAGTAAATGAGTGGAGCTGAGAACACGCATTTTGCTACCTCGGCTTACCATGGTTCTTTCTCCTAGTATGCTTTGGTATTTTACCCTTCCTGCCAGACATAATTTATATTCACCCACCTCAACTAAAAGGTTTTTAAAAACTCATTGTTTAAAATCCCTTGTACAAAGTCTTATTATTTCCAAAAGATGAATAGCTTAAAGAAATTACCACACTAAAACCTAAACTGGTTTTTAGAAACATCAAATTATTTTTTTCTTATTTAGAACTAGAAATCTTAGAGAGGCATGCTATCAAAATTGTGAAAATGCTGATCTGTTCTACCACACTAAATCTGCCTGGATAATCAGACCAACACAGTTTCCTCTAAACAATTATCAACTGCCAGTAAAGTCTGTGCCCACCTGGGTTTTATTGCGGCAGCCCCTGCATTCGTATGTATGGGTCCTGGTGTTGGCAATCGCCATTATTCCACAAAGGTTGCAAACATGAACCTGATATGGATCCGATGCCTCAAACAATCTTTCCCTTAAAAACTGGGCTGCTCCATGGGCAATCTGGCAATCTCGTTCCATTTCTCCAAAACGCAGACCACCATCACTGTTAAGAGAAAAAAAATATCACTTTATACTTATTTTTTATTATAAACACTGCCTTGAATAATGGCAAAGGTAAAGAATAATATTTGCAAAGAAGGAGAACTAGGCTCTAATTTTTATACCCTAAACCCTGGTAGAGGAGAAATCTACCAACTATTTGATGTGTATTAGAAGTCCCCAAATGGGCTAAACAAAGTGGCTCACGCCTGTAATCCCAGCACTTTGGAAAGCGGAGCTGGGTGGATCTCTTGAGCCCAGGAGTTCAAGATCAGCCTGGGCAACATGGTGAGACCCCATCTCTATTTTTTAAAAAAATAAAAATAAAGAAGTTTCCCCAAATGCAGTAGACACAATAGATTCTTAATTTTCCTTATAAGATACAATGAAGCCTAAAGCACAGAGTGGAGGCTCATCATGCTATCATTTAACTTTCTAACTCAAACCCTTGAAATCATAAATACATGTTGGCAGAAGTAACGGAAAGAACAGGTAAATAACAGGTTTCCCCAACGCAAGAAGTGAAATTCATTATTTGCCAGGCAAATAGATGGTGATGGCTTTCTTAACATACTTAATATCCTAAATATATAAAGTAATACCAATGGGTTTATAATGATATTCCACCAAAACAAATCATGGGTCAACTGTGGACCAATGATTTGGATCATTAAACAATGAACTCATTATTCTGAAAACCGGTAAAGAGAATCAAGCATTTATTCCTGCCCTTACTATAGGAACTATGTCACTAGGTAACCAAACAGTTGAGGAAACAAAGTTTTAGAAGTAGTCTGGCTAAAAACTGAAAAAGGAATGAGAAAAAATAGAATCGCATCAGTTTGTAATCCCTATTTAATTAAGGTCTTCAAGCAGTGATCATTAATAGCTGATAAAATCATAAAAAGAAAGGCAAGGAGGTACTGGAAATGTAGAATACCACCTATGAAGTATTACTGCTAAAAAACTCAAACCCTAAATCTCAAGCTTCAAGATCTAACTATTTACAAAAAAAAAAAAAAAAAACTCAAGCTTCAAGATCTAACTATTTAAAAAAAAAAAAAAAAAAAACAGCAATGCAGAGCACTTGGGATACAATCAGCACAATTCAGTCTGAAGCCCCAGACACAGTCCAGTGTCTCCAACAAATAAATTACAAGGGAAAAAAAGGTCGGAGGGCAACCAGTGAATTCAATAATGGACTTAAGAGATGTATCAATCAATCACAAAGCATGGACCTTATTTGTATACTGATTAAAACCACAAACCTTTAAAAAACTTATGTGATAATCAGGGAAATGTAAACCTGGACATTTAATATTAAGGAGGTAAGGAGGTACTGTGGTTAGGTTTAATGTCCTAATCTTTTAGGGCAGAGGTTCGGAGAGTGTGATCTATGGACCTCCAGAGGGTCAAGGCTATTTTTAATAGTAATACAACATGTATTTGCTTCTTTCACTGTATTTACATTTGCACTGATGGTGGAAACGTAAATAAAACTGCTGGCACCTTGGCAGAAATCAAGGCAGTAGAACCAAATGTTACAGCAGTCATATTCTCCATTCAAGTCAAGGGGAGAAAAGCCAGTTTTACTTAAAAATGTCCTTAATGAAGCAGTGAAAATAAATAATTGTACAGTATTAACCTTGACCCTTAAGTATACATCTCTTTCATATCCTGTGACTTTTGAAAAATGAAAGTCCTCGTGCTCGCTTCAGCAGCACATATACTAAAAATTGGAACGATACAGAGAAGATTAGCATGGTCCCTGTGCAAGGATGACACGCAAACTCGTGAAGCGTTCCATATAAAAAAAAGAAAAATTAAAGTCCTCAATCAGGCATGATGGCTCACACCTATAATCCCAGCACTTTGGGAGGCCAAGGTGAGAGGATGGACTGAACCCAGGAGTTCAAGACCAGCCTGAGCATCATAGTAAGACCTGGTCTCTGTATAAAAAATAAAATAAAATGGAACATTTCATGAGTTCTGTATAGTGAAGATGACTGTCTTGAACAAAAGCACTTGCATGATTCTGAACTAGTCTCTTTTATCATGGAATATCTTTTTTACTTGAATAGCCAGCTGACACCAACTATCTTAACGCCCATGATGTTAATTCAGACTTAGAATTAAGTTGATATTGCTGTAAATATTTGACAAAGAAATGAACAAGAAGAAATGAAAGCAAACAAAGTAAGTCTTTTACTCCAAGGAAAATAATTCTGAGTATTTGTTGAAAATGATGAAAATTTTGAGCTTCAAGCAAAAATCAGAGCTTTAGAAAACTTCTATGCACCCCTATGGGCTTGATAGCTTCCTGATATATTTAAACGTTTTTCTAATGACATCAGTAGTGATTTTAACAAATGCAATTTTAATTACAATGAAATGTGTCAACATTTGAAAATCTACATAACTCAGCAAACCAATACTTTCCAAATGACCAATTAGGATGCTACAAAATATGC